GGGCCGGGACGGGTGGCGCACGGGCGACTGGGAGCAGGGCCGGGACGGGTGGCGCACGGGTGGCTGGGAGCGGGGCCGGGACGGGCTGCGCACGGGCGACGAGGGGCCGGGATGGCTGCGCGCGGCCGGAACGGGTGGCGCACGGGTGGCATGGGGCCGGATCGGGTGGCGCACAGCGTCGAGGGGCCTGGCGGGCAGCGCGCGGGCGTCTAGGGGGGGGGGCCGAGACGGGCGGCGTGCGGGCCCTAAGGGCAGCGCGTGGGCGGCGTGGGGCCTGGACGGGCGGCGCGCGAGCTCTAAGGGCAGCGCGCGGGCAGCGTAGGGCCTGGACGGGCAGCGCGCGGGCTTGAAGGGCAGCTCGCGGGCGGCGCGGGGGGCCTGGAAGGGCGGTGCACGGGCTCGAAGGGCAGCGCGCGGGCGGCGTGGGGCCTGGACGGGCGGCGCGCGGGTGTCTAGGGGCCCGGAAGGGCGGCGCGCGGGCGTCTAAGGGCGGCACGCGGGTGCTAGGGGCCGTTAGGGCAGATCGAAAAAGTAAGAGAAAGGGCCCGGAGCGCGCTCTGGGCAGAAAAAAAAGTTCGATGTGGTGGGCCCTAAGCACAGTTCCCACGGGAGAACCTGCTCGATACCATGAGAAAACTAGAACGAGAATGAAATGACTAGGAAAGAAGTGAGTACAAATAGAAAACCCTAATTGGGTTGTACCCCCTATGGGATACCCCACTATAGCCTACACAAATAAGTAAGCTATAATGTTCTGACAGAACCTTGGACACGAAGACCCCGACAGGTGTGACACAGGCGGCAGATGGGACTTCTGACTTTGCAAATGAACAAGCAGTATCAATATTTGGTGTGACCATAATTCACACGTGGAAGGAGTGGGGCGCAGCCTTACGAGAGCGTTTCGAGCATGTATCCGCCTTGGAACACGCTCATATGAAGCTGCTTGCCTGGTCGCAGTTGGCTTTTGTTCAAGACAGCACGGCGTCATTTATGGCACTCGTTGATCAAGTGGACGGCATGGCGGAAGCTGGGCGGTTGGATAAGTACATCGGCGGCCTCAAATACGTACGAGGTGCGCCGCAGCCGTCCAGCTACTTTCATCGAAGCCGTACGATTGGCGAAATCTACAGTGGGTGAGGTCGAGTTCCCGGGAGGGAAATTGATTTTGTAGACAGACCCAACGGGCCACGACAAATGAAGTCCATGCGCCTGACCGCCATTTTACAGGGTTGTGTTATAAGTGCGGGAAGCTGGGTCACATGTGTAAAGACTGCCCCGACACGACGAAGGGAAGGAGGAACGTCAGTAACAGACGTGCCCCTACTGACTGTGCTCTGTCGCTCAAACACCACCATCCCCACCGAGTAGTGATTCCAATTCATGCAATCGATCGCACTCGGACTGAATAACGCGGGTGAGCTTGTGGATCATCTTGTGCTGGTTATTGGCACGGTTGTTAAGAAAAAAAAATGCTCGTCGATGGCGGGGCCAGCCATAGCCTCTTTAATCTGGTGACAACAAATAAATATGGATTACGCCTCGACAGGTGTTTGCCCGAGATTGACGCTCGCCTGGTCGATGGGACGCCTCCGACGAATTTGGAAGAAACACGGACGGTGCGGATTGAGTGCGGCCACAATTTCGGCATTAGCATGAATTTCCTCGCGACAAATTTGGATGGCTGCGACACGCTCCTGGGACGCGATTGGCTGCGACGCCACAACCTGATAATCGACTGGACGATGGGATTATGCAGCATTAGCAAGCACGAGCGGCTGATTACTTTGCCCGCGTGGACTCTGATCGACATCGAGTCTACATGCGTCAAAGCTATCACTATTACACGCCACTTCAACAGGGGTGCAGAGTTGTACGCCGTTCATCTGCGCGAGTTGGCAGCCGACACCGATGGAAACAACATCAACAAGTTGTGTGCAGCTGTGCTTCCGGAGTTGGCGCAGCTGATACGACAGCACCCTGACATCTTCCCCGACGATCTGCCACCTGGCCTACCACCGGAACGACCAGATGACCACAAAATAACGCTCGAGCCCGGCACGCAACCGAGAGTTCGTATGCAGTGGCAGCTGACTCAGCATGAACTCGCGGAGCTACGAAGTTAAATTGACGCACTATAGGAGAAGGGCTTCATCACACCCAGTACGTCACCCTTTGTGGCACCGATCCTATTCACGACAAAAAAGGACGGCGGCATTCGCATTTGCATCGACTATCGCGCGCTTAAACGGGTTACAATCAATTCTCGCTACCCCATCCCACGCACCGACGACCTCTTCGACCAACTTCGTGGCGCTCGCTACTTCTTGAAGATTGACCTACGCGACGGTTACCACAAGATCGGAGTCTTCGCTGACGATTGTCACGAGACTTCATTTTGAACCCGCTACAGCAGTTACGAGTTTACATTGATGCATTTCGGCCTCACGAACGTGCCTTAGACTTTTCAACTGACCATGAACAGGATATTTCGGGAGCTTCTTGACAAGTGTGTCATCGTCTACTTAGGGGATATCCTGATTTTAGCAGGACAAGCGAACAATACCTCCGCCACCTCGACGTAGTGTTTAAACGGCTCCATGACAACCGACTCATCACCAAGGGGTCTACGTGTGAGGTTTTTAAGCAGAAGTTGGATTTTGGGACACGCCATCTCACGCGACGTCATCAGGACCGACCGAAAGAAAATCCAGACTATTCAAGAGTGGAAGGCCCCGACTAATGTCACGAAACTTTAGAGGAGTCTAACCGAATATGGTAGGGATAGCCGGCCCGCTGACCGACCTGCTGCATTAAGATAAAAGTTTAGTGTGGGCGGAGGAGTCTAAGGCGACTATTCAGGTATTGAAGATATTTCTGGTGTCCCCTCCAGTCCTGCGCATCGCCGACCCATCCAAGCCGTTCGAAGTCATCACCGACGCTTCAGATTTTGCCATCGGTGCTGTACTACTCCAAGATTTCCTGCAACAGATTACAACCGATCGCCTACGAGTCACGCAAGCTGCAAGCAGTCGAACGCAACCACCTGATCAACAATTAGGAGATGCTGGACATCATCTACGCATTTAAACTTTGGCGCTACTACCTGACAGGTGCCGACGTCACTATGCGAACAGACCCCAAGTCCCTACAGTATCTCCGCGCACAACTAAACCTCAACCCGCGACAAATAAGGTGGCTCGATTACATGGAGTCGCATTTCCACTATCGCATCACCTACAAAAAGGGCACGAATAACATTGCTGACGTCCTTACCCGCCCGACAGTCCAATCCACTGCAGTGCTCATCACCCATTCGAACCCGCTACTTTCGGGGCTATTCACCCACGGCTACACGACGGACCCGTTCTTCATGACAGGAAGTCATCGGCAAGCGACGACGCAGAAAGGGGACGATTACCTAAAGCCAGAACCAGTCGGATTTGGGTACCTGCTTACCGTCTGCTGCGTGAATTACTTATGCAGGAGGTCCACGATTTCAACCTCTCTTGACATTTCGGAGTTGACAAGACGCAGAAAATTCTGCACCGTCGGAATTATTGGCCCGATTCCCCCTTTGTCATGCAGCGTTATGCAAATTGACTGCTGCACACTCTGCATGAAGTGGTACCAATAATGCAGAGAACCAGGTACTGAGGTCACATCATTTTGTGACAGAACTCCAGAACATTCGCGAGAAAGCAGTCGAAGCCATTCGTAAGGAAATTCAATTGCTTGGAAATACTCTAATCTACTTTGCCGAGAAGTCAACATGGTTGCTGGGCAACTAGTCCTGCTCGACACAAAGAGTCTTCGACTGCCCATCTTGTCGAAACTCCGCCTGGGATATTGTGGACCTTTCCGCATTATCAAGATGATCACACCGTTGACAGCGAAACTTCTGCTGCCCGACGACTGGCGTGTTCACGATGCCTTCCACGGCAGCCTATTTCGGCCTTTGTTGCTGCCACAATGGACATCGCCCGACAAAACGCTGCCCCAATGGCTCGACATGTACACATGATGCCCGACCAGTGCACGCGAATTTGCCATGCACCGGATGGACACGCTGCCCCCGAACTCGAAACCCCTGCTTGCTGCACCCCATGTACAGGCACCTGGATGGCCTTCTACAGTGAACGCGGCTCGGCCTCCCCCCCACGTGCAGACCACAACAAGCAGTGCCGACCCATGTTTTCCCTTGTTTCTAAGCCAGGCGCCAACCTGACGAAACGAATGGACGAAATGAAAATGGTTTCGTAAGTGCATTCGCCCACTACCCCGCTACCTAGGCAAGTTTCAAGGTGCGTGTAACAGACATCTGGCCTGGTGCACGCTGCCACGTGTAAACCTCAATTGTGTGGTACAAGCCCACTGACATCCAGGCGTTGTTCGCCTAACCCACGTCAGAGTATAACTCTGGTGGTAACCCAACCACATGTATGAAATTGTAAGCAGGGTGCATGTAACGAATCATCACAACACAATTCAACCCCCGTCACCCTGAACGAGCCCCCGAGCAGGTTATCCGCGGTCTCAAACACAAGTTATAAACTGATGCGCAAATTCACAAGAGCATCAGTACCTCCCGCCTTAGCCTCCCACAATGGCTCGCCACCATCGCCGCGAGCAGCTTCCGCTATTCATCAAGCGCGCATTATGCATGTATCACGTCGAGCATCCCCTCCTGCGCCACGTCGATCTTGCACGCTGGGTTTACTGCCCAGTATGGCCTGCGACCTGACCGCTCCACGGTCGGCCGCATCCTGAAGAATGCGGGGCGCTGGGCTCTGGAGGAACCCAACGCCCCCAATCAGGTGCGGCGCCGGGGCGGCGCATGGCCTGAGCTTGAGCAGGCCATGGCTCGCTGGATCGCAAATGCGGGCCCCGCGGGCGTGCCACTCACTCTGCAGACGATATGCGACCACGTGGCGACGATGGCGCGACGCATGGGCATTCCGCCCGCGTTCCGTTGCTCCATTGGCTAGGTCCGCCGTGCGATGAGGCGCCAAGGAGTGCGGTGCCGTGCAGTCGTGGGCGAGGCGGCGAGCGCCGACATGGCGGCTGTGCGTGAGGCGCGTGAGAAAGTGCCGCAGCTTCTGACTCACCTCGGTTACCAACCGCGCGACACTTTCAACTTTGACGAGACTGCGTTGTGGCTCTCTGTGCTGCCGCGTAAGACGTACAGCAACGCTCGCATTCCCGGGCGCAAGGTCTCGAAGGACCGCCTGACGGTGGCTTTTCTCGTCAACGCTGACGGGAGCCACGTCTTCCGGCCGTTGGTCATCAGCAAGGCGCGCCGTCCGCACGACTTCAGGCCGGACTACGACCCGGAAGCTCTGTGCTACTGGCGGCACAACGCGAAAGGCTGGATGACCAGCTCGGTAAGTCACAGGCGCCTGCGTGATTGCGCGCGTGCGTGATTGCTCATTCACTTTGCGTTGATACATCGTAGCGCATTTACCCCCTTCCCCCCACACCCCCCCCTCACCGTCCCCGTCCACCCTCCCTCCACTCCCATCCAACAGTTGTTCACGCATTTCATATCGCAGCTCAATGCCGCGATGTATGCCGAGAGGAGGCACATCGCGGTGCTGCTCGACAATGCAAGCTCCCACATGCTGCGGGACGAGTGCGCGTGGAGCGAAATCGTCTGCGGCATGCGGACCACTTGCCTCAGCAATGTGCGCCTCGTCTTCCTGCCGCCTAACACAACCTCCTACACGCAGCCCCTCGACTAGGGCATGATCGCGACCGCGAAGGCCCGCTATCGCCAGCACTGGCTGCAGGCCTTCACTGCACTGTGGAATGACGACGGCGCAACCAGTGTCGTCGCCCGCTGGCGCCCCAATCTTCGCGACGTGCTCGGTTGGCTCTCCGACGCCTGGATGAGCGTCGGAGCGCGCACCATCCAGAGGTGCTTCTGGCGCACAGGCTGCTTGCCTCTGTCGTGGTCGCTGGAACTCACGCATGTGCATGATGACGATCCCACCCCCCATGCTTACCCCGACATTGAGCTCGACGACGACATCGACAATGTCGGGGAGCTCATATGCGGGCTTGGGCTCGGCGCCGGCGCAATGACCGCCGCCGAGTACGTCGCCATCGACGAGGGCGAGCCGACGTGCGCGGAGGCGGCGGCGGGAACGTCTCCGGATGATGCGGACGTGGGCCTGGTGGCGGAGCTATGGAGGGCGCCGACCACGATGCAGGCCGTGTATGACGACAACGACCCCATCGGCCGTGAGGCGCGGCGCACGGCACGGGCGGCCAGCGAGATGCTCATCGGCTACGCGCGCGCCGTGAACGTGACCCCGCGCGACCTGTGCCACCTGTTCGACATCCGGAATCCGGTCATCATTGAGCGCATGGAGCGCGCAAGCCCCGCGCTGGCTCTCAGCATGGCCCCGCCGCCCAGGCTTTCGACAAGCCCAACCCCGCCGGAGGAGGCCCAGCATCCGCGGGGCCGTGTGCTGCCTAGCTGGATGACCCAGCCGTCCCGCCGTCAGCAGCTTCTTGACGCCGGGGTTGGCGCCGCGATGGGCGGGTACGTGGAGGCGGCCGAGTGGATGCAGGTGTGAGCTGGAATTTCACAACACTTGATCAGGAGTCGAAGATGGGAGTCGGGGAGTTTTGTTGCAGTTGTAGTTTGATGAAATTGTGCACATAACGGGCACATTTGCAGTACAGGGGATGGTTTCTTGATGGGGGTTAATGTCGATATGGCGGATTATGGTTGGTGCGTCATTGCCTGTCTGTTGTTTCAATCTAAGTTGAACAAAGGTTGTCATTGTTTCCAGGGTGTGTGTTGTTATCGTAAGGATTTTTGTAACACACGCTTGTGACAACCAGTGCCATCCGACACTGTTATATTAAAGACAAAATGTGTGGTTACCATATGCGCGATACATGCACGCGCAAAGCCTGACGAAACCCTCTACGAACCGACGAAATGCGGTTTTAGCTTACAGTCCCCCTTCACAAGGCAACCGGGAGGGGCTGTAACGAGCATCAGGTGTACCTGAACTGACTCTTGACCCGTCGAAAATCTTGGGGCATCGCGTTCGGCTCGATGCCTTAGGTTGCCACGTGGACTTTTTGATTTGCTGGACCGACCACACTAGTGAGGACGACACTTGGGTACCTTCAGCTTCACTTGTCGCACCTTCGCTACTTTGCGATTACCTTGCTCGAAGCATGTTGCTAGTGTTGACCACCTTTCTTAGGAGGGGGGGGGGGGGGGGGGGGGGGGGGGGTAGTGTACGGAAAAACCTTTGCGTACAATTCCCACTTTCGGAAGTGCATGTTCGACCAATTGCTTGCTATCGAAGGAACCTCGCGTCGCCTTCGGCTTCACTCTGCCCAACCTGCACCCAACCTCGTGTACCGGAGGTTCTGCCTAGCTAGGTTCACCCGCAATATTATCTTGTGTCTTTCATTGTACCATCAGTCCATATTGTCACAGCTTCATTATTTGCTATTCGGCGCAACTTAGATTGACAACTCATAACAATATATGTACAGTTTTAGAAACGTTAAATATGTAACCTCATCCTCTGCTACTCATATGTGGTTTGTCGCGAAGGAAATTGTACAGTTTGTCTATTGTTTGCCCATGTTAGGAAACAAATTTTCCTTACTTAGGGTCACCCTCACAGATAGCACGTACAGCATTGGGTATCGCATGCGACTTAATGTTGTTTTATTACCACCTCGCAACATTCGCCTGGACAACAATGTCTCTCAACGTGAGAAAAGTGGAATGGTCAGACTATGAAGCATGGGTGATACAAGTATGAACCCTAAAAGTGTTATACTCCCTACAGCATGCGACACTCACTGCAGCCTACAACAACATATATATCGTTTGACACACCCCCATAGGCTAAGTGAGGGACAACAAGAGAGAGCAACAAACACAAATGGCAAGGAGACTAGTCAAGAGAAGCAATAACACAAAGCTGAAGGCGGATCACTAAGTCACCACACAATCTGAGCACAAGCAAGCGGCCACTAGGCCAGTTTAAGCGTTCACTTGTACATATAAATGCAAGGACGAACAGAGTGAGAAACAAGAGGCAATACCACAGCAATCGAGGACCTGCCTCAACAAGGCCTAAAAGCAGACAGAGCCGATGGTGATCACCAGGCGGAAGGGCCTTGGTGAAGATGTCTGCAGTGTTGGCCGCTGAGGCCACAAAGTCCAAGCGTGCCTGGTCGCGTCGCTGCAACTCTTGCAGGAGAAAGTACCTCACGTCGATTTGCTTCACTCTGCCTTCCAGTCGAGGCTCTCGACACAGGAGGATCATGGCCTTGCTGTCAGCGAACAAGGTCGGTGCAAAGTGAGGACGCTCACCAAGGTCGGTGAGCAAGAAGGTAAATCAGCGAAGCTCCTGCGCAGCCATGGCAACAGCGTGGATCTCTGCCTCTGCGCTAGACTATGCCACTGACGAAAGAGTAGACCTCCACAGCTCCAGCCCCTCAGTTGAAGCAGTACCCCTGAATACACCGCTGGGTCTGCACGTCCTTGGCGTAGGAAGAGTCGCAGTGACCGGTCAGCACAACTGGCAATGTCCCTCCAAGCACAAGCCCCCGCAACCCTCATAGCGGCCGTCCAGTGGATAGGACGATGTCTCCCAGTCGCAACAAAGCGAACTTGGACACTGAGGGGAAAAGCGAGGTCCGGATGAGTATAAGACATCAAGTACATGAGGCAGCCCACAAGCTCTGCGTAGGGACCACTAGACTCAAAGGCCAGGTCGGGAAAAGGGCAAGTAAGTCTGTGGTCAACGGAGAGAGGAGTGGACTGTGTGGTGGAGAACAGAAACCCAAAGCGCAGAAGGACCTGCACCATGTGGGACTGGTTCAGCCTGATGGTGCGAACGGCTCTGTCCGTGGTGATCTCCAAGCCAAGGTAGCGGCGCAGTTCACCCAGGCCAGTGCACGTGTGTCTCTTCTGCAGTTCGGACTTCACCTCAGCCAAAGCAACCCTGTGTGCTATAGCAAAGACCAAGTCGTTGACGTAGACAAGGACGAAGAAAGGAGTGGAACCAGTACGAACGAACAGCGACGGGTTGGCGGATGAAGGACGGAACCCGATGTCAGCAAGAGTGGTGGTGTTGTGCAACTCACGGGGCGCCTGGCGGAGACCGTAGACTGGTCGTTCCAGGCTCCACTAGGTCCCACGCGGGAAAGTGCTTGTGAAGCCACGAGAACACCGTAGCCAGATCTCCTCGTGCAGGCGGCCCTGGAGAAAGGTGTCGCGATATATATTATATATATATTTATAGCTGCATGTACATTTAGCTTTAGTGTAGTAATATTACCTTGCTATTGGTGGTGCACCTTTGTTAGTTTGCTGTATGTACCTTGTGTGCTATAGTGAATCCATCCCATTCTTGATTCTCCCTTGCACAAACTTCTCGACACTCGCTTGACCTAGGCTCCTAAGCCTAGGCCCTAAACCTCGTAAATAAGCTACTATTGCATCTTGGTAAAAGGCAGTGGAGAAGTCGAGCGAGTGCAGCTCGTAGTCTCGCTGTGCTGTAACGTGAAGTCACACTTGAAGAGTAGTCATATTTGGGGTCGGAGCAAAGGTCTGGAAGAAGTCACCCGATGAACGAAGTCCCTAGCCGCGTAGCGCGCCTTAAAGACATGCGGCGATCCAAGCGGCTGATTCATCTTGAAGATCCACATGCCATCGGCTAATTTCGCCATGGGAGGGGGAACTGTGTCAACATAAGTGCCAGTGGATCTCCAAGTCGCCATCTCTGAGTCCATGGCCGGTATCCACTGAGAGGCCCACTGCCCTGACACTGCCTCACAATACGTGCCAGGAGTCGGTATGTCAAGGCCGTTGGGGTCTCCCTCAAGGGCTAGCAGCATGGCATAGAGGTGGGGAGAAGCGGCTGCTAAGAACTCCAGCTCAAACTGCCTGTCCTCTAGGACACCACAACCAAGGAAAGACTTATCCCCACCGGGCAGAGGACGGGTATCCATAACACATGTGGCGTAGTCAAGGCGGCGAGCGGCGGCAAAGTCATCGATAGCGGCAACAAGTTTTGAGATAGACGACCAAGAGGCACGAGGGTCCATCACAGGAGACGCGGGAAAACATGAGACAACAAAACGAGTAGTGCGTTAGTAGTCAGTGACAGGATGAGAGGATGCTGTAAGAGACGACCCAGGAGGTGACGAGAGAATTGTCGCAGGCAGAGAACGATGAGGAGTAGAACGAAGCAAGGCAGGGCGGAGGTGTTGTGTGATGCTATCATTCGCATTCACGACTGTCTGCCTCCCATCATATATTCGTGTGTTTCATGCGTGATGTGAGCGTGTGCAAGAATTTGTGTTTGGTGTGGTTTGAACTTTCAGAGTGTGTGTGAATATTATTTGGATTGATCAGATATCTGACGTGACTCCTCTGCTCAAGAGCTTTCCGACGAACCAAGAATCGTCGCAATCGGAGCAAGAACGATGACGTTATGATCGTTCAAATATTTGTTTGGGATGCGACGCCTTTGGGAAGTTGTGAAGTGACTCAATATGGGGTACAAAATTTTGGGGGTTGGGATTGGGATTTTCGTCCCCATCACTGTAGTTGATGCCAAGTGGTTGGGAGAAACCAAATTGGGTTGGCAAGTGTGGCCAACTTGGATGAGGTGGATTGTGGAGGTTGGGAAAGTGACAAATGTCAAAGTTGGGTTGCCTAGAGAGGGAAATTGTGTGGCATGGGGTTTCCTTGGTTGGGGACTCTTTTGGGACCTTCCCTCTCGTCCTCCTTATCCTCTAATACCTGGTTTCTAGTTACTCTAACTTGTGTGTGTCAGAACATATATGTAGCTTATGCTGTTGTGTAGGCTACAGTGGGGTATCCCATAGGGGGTACAACCCAATTAGGGTTTTGCTATTTGTACCCAACTCTTTCATAGTGCATTCATTCTCGTTCTATTTTCCACATGGTATCGAGTAGGTTCCCCCATGGGAACTGTGCTTAGGGCCCACCACTTTTAAACCTTTTTTTCTGCCCGGAGCGCGCTCCGGGCCCTCGCTCTCACTCTTTCGGCCTGCCCTGAGCCGCCCGCGCGCCGCCCGTCCCGGCCCCTAGCCGCTCGCGCGCCGCCCGTTCAGGCCCCTAGCCGCCCGCGCGCCGCCCGTCCCGGCCCCTAGCCGCTCGCGCGCCGCCCGTTCAGGCCCCTAGCCGCCCGCGCGCCGCCCGTCCCGGCCCCTAGCCGCTCGCGCGCCGCCCGTTCAGGCCCCTAGCCGCCCGCGCGCCGCCCGTCCCGGCCCCTAGCCGCTCGCGCGCCGCCCGTTCAGGCCCCTAGCCGCCCGCGCGCCGCCCGTCCCGGCCCCTAGCCGCTCGCGTGCCGCTCGTTCAGGCCCCTAGCCGCCCGCGCGCCGCCCGTCCCGGCCCCTAGCCGCTCGCGCGCCGCCCGTTCAGGCTCCTAGCCGCCCGCGCGCCGCCCGTCCCGGCCCCTAGCCGCTCGCGCGCCGCCCGTTCAGGCCCCTAGCCGCCCGCGCGCCGCCCGTCCCGGCCCCTAGCCACCCGCGCGCGCCCGTCCCGGCCCCCCACGCCGCCCGT